AAGCTGAAACAGCTAGCAGCCGTACTCCATCCAGTCGGTCAAAGCAGATGGCCGCTTGTCCTGAGGCTGGTTCTGCTGGAGGTTTTTTCCTTTTAAAAGGGAGTTTTTCCTTTCCACCGTTGCCACTGTGCTTGCACAGGATGGGAGACTGCAACAAAGCCAAGATTCACCTTGTCTGCTGGACTCCTTAATAGAGAACTTTACTAATTGGCTTTTATGTATGTGAATGTTCCTGTAAAGTGTCCTGGGACAACTTTGTTGTGATTTGGCGCTATATAAATAAACTGAATTGAATTGAATTTCCTCACTCTGCTACTGTCTTGGGATCAATAAAGTTCCATCTTATCTTTACCTGCTCTACTCTACCCATTTGTATTTAGGCCCGAGCAGCGAAGCGCTGCAAAGGCTTATTGTAATCGCTCTGTTCAGGCCCCGAGCTGCAATTTTTTCCGCCAAATGAATTGGCGATTTGGGGACCTTAACATATCCCAAAAGTCACAAAATTTGGTGGGCGCATCAGGACTGCTGAAAAATTACGTATTTTAAGGGCGTGGCAAAAATCGCAACAGAAACGGCTCAAGAGCGCCACATGGAAATTTTCAAAATACCCTCATTAACCTTAGTTTGTCGTAGAAACATGATATTTGGTACACTTATCCAATTCCACAAGGTGCACAGAAAATCCTCTGGCACCAACATTGTACGATAAACAGGAAGGTGGCCATTTTGGAATGTTGTCCCAATTTTCACACCTTTTTGGCGGTTTACAGCCTACGCATTTGAACTCCTCCTCCTAGGGATTTTGCTCAATCGGTTTCAAACTTGGCCATTGTGGTCAAAAGGCATGGGGGACGAAAAGTTATCAAAAAGGTGCAAACTGAAGCATGCTGAAGGGGCGGGGCCCGACCTCAAAGTTTGACATCTCGCCATGAAAAAGGAAACGCTAATAGCTCCTACAAGAAAACTGTCTGAGACATCAAACCTTCAGTGATTGATCCACATCCGGTCCCCTGCAAGACTGAATAGTCAAATCATGACATAACTTAAGCCATGCCCCCTGAAAACAGGAAGTGTAAAGTTTTACCTTGAACGGTCCCTATCTGACCCGTCACCTGATCAGCATGATAGTGTGTCTAGTGATCGAAGACATGTTGGTGTAACTTGCATTCCAACACTGACAGTTTGGGGTGGAGCATGTAGGCGTCGCGATGTAGCAAAGTAAGATGTAACGCCGTCGCCATACGTTTGGCTCTAAATTCCACAGATTTGAACCGTGGTGCACCAAAATCATTATGATCTATTATTATCCACCCCTTGAACAGGAAGCCATGATAATTGCCCAATAGCCTCCACAGCGCCCCCTAGAATATTTTAAAACCTCAGCCCCAAGCCATTTTTGGACCGATAATTCTGAAAATCGGTGAACATCTGTATCATCTCAGGACCTATGAAAAAGTCTCTTGGAGTCCTGGTCCAAAGCCAACAGGAAGTCAGCCGTTTTGGGTCAAAATATCATTTTTGTGCATTTCTAATGGCAAATTTTAACAAACTCCTAGGGATTTTGAGTGATTGCCTTCAAACTTGGTTAATATGCCCTTAACACATTGGGGAGTAAAAGTTACCAAAAACTTGCATTTTCGTTTATGTTAAAGGGGCGTGGCCAGGCCTCAAAGTTGCGCTTCACGCCATAAATTTCCAAACGCTATAACTTTCACATTGAAAGACCGAAATGCACAAAACTTGGCATGACTCATCCCTGTTGGATGTCCGACGATCCATTTTCGTCATATTTTGACATCATCAAAGCCCCGCCCCCTCAGAACAGGAACTCTTTTTTTTTTAAACTTGGAATGGTCCCTCTTTGACACCATTGACCTAATCAGGATGATCCTGTGTTAGAAGACAGATAAGATGGTCTGACTTGATTTAAAGTGCAAACCGTTTTCGCTGGAGGATGTGGACGTGGCAAATCAAGAAGTAACACCGTTGCAATACGTTTGGCTCTAAAATACACAGATTTCAGCTGAGGTACACCAAAATCACTATGATCAATCATTATCCACCCCTTGAACAGGTATCCATGATAAGTAGCCAATAGCCTCCACAGCGCCCGCTACATTATTCCTACAGTTCCTACATTATTCCTACATTCCTACATTATTCCTACAATTCCTTATTATTCCATTATTCCTCAGTGATACATCATCCGATCTGCACCAGATTTATTGTGCGTGATCAGTGAGCACTTCTAGACACATTGATATTGTTGTTTAACATACGACTCTAGTGCACCCCCTACATTATTCCAACAGTTATATCTCAGTGATATATCATCCGATCTGCACCAGAGTTTTGATGTGTCATTAGTTAGCACTTCTAGACACACTGGTATTGTTTTTTTTTTTATTTTGACTCCAGTGCGCCCCCTAGATTATTCCAACAGTTATATCTCGGTGAAATATCATCCAATATGTACCAGATTTATTTTGGATGATCAGTTAGCACTTTTAGACACATTGGTATTGTTCCTTAACATTGGACTCCATTGCGCCCCCTACATTATTCCAACAGTAATATCTCAGTTATATATCGTCCAATCTGTACCAGATTAATTGTGCGTGATCAGTGAACCATTCTACACACATTGGGATTGTTGTTAAACATTTGACTCCTGAGCGCCCCCTAGATTCTTCTAAAAGTTATATCTTAGTGATATATCATCTGATCTGCGCCAAATTTTGGTGGGTCATTAGTGAACACTTCTAGACACATTGGTATTGTTGTTTAACATTTGACTCCAGTGCGCCCCCTAGATTATTCCAACAGTTATATCTCTGTGAAATATCATCCAATATGTTCCAGATTTATTGTGCGTGATCAGTGAGCACTTATAGACACATTGGTATTGTTCTTTAACGTTTGAATCAAGTGTGTCCCCTAGATTATTCCAACAGTTATATCACAGTGAATTATTATCTTATGATCGGAACCAGATTTTTGGTGCATAATCGGTGAATATGTCTAAACACAATGATGTGGTTTAACATAAGACTCAAGTGTGCCCCCTCTTATACTGATATGGACGGAAGGCGATTGCAAAGTTTAGGCATATGCGCACTAGGGCATTAACAGAGTACTCGAGTAATCTACACATCGATTGCTAGGACATCTATCGAGGTTAAAAATGTTACGTCAAGTAACCGTAGTGACGTCACATTATGTGACCACCATATGACCGTAGGGGGCGGTGTTGCACTGTTGCAGGTCACAGAGTATGGTGCAACACCGGGTCTAATCCACCGAACCAGAACCAGTTTCGTTTTAAGTTTCGTTTTTGACGTGCTGCATGTTTCTTCACGTTTGCAGTTTAATGATAATAACTAATAGTTTAGTTTTGCCTGTGACTTATTTGCAGTATGATAAATGGTAGGAGCATAATATACACTCCCAATGTTTCGTTGGTCTTTTTTTTGTAAATTACCTTTTTTTTGCGGTTTTATTTATTTATTTATTTTTGTATCTTGAGATCTATGACGTCATCAAATATTCGAGTTCTACTCGGGTTTTATTATGTTAATGTCGAGTTTAAAAATTATATACTCGTTCAACGCATAATGCGCACTCTGGTGCGTGCGGGAATGGCATTAGAGCATTTGCGACGGTGACTGGGAGGCGTTGAAGGAGCGCCCGCGGCTGATGTCGAAGGTTTGGCAAATGCGCACCCTGGTGAACGAGCACGGGACAGGAGCGACAGCATTCGCGATGGTGACTGGACGGAGTCGCTGGAGCTCCTGAGGTCGCCGTAAGGCTGTAGCGGCGCTTTGCTGCGAGGGCCTTCAATGCTGCTTGCAGCTTTAATTGTAATTATTTCTATCTTAACATGTTTTTTGTCTTTCCTCCTACAGAAAGTACACCTGGACTATAGAAAGTACACATGGACTATAGAAAATACACCTGGACTATAGAAAGTACAGCTGGTCCTGTCATTCTGTGTCTTTTTCTCCTTCCCGTCTTTCAAAACCAGCCAGTTGAAGAAGATGGCCGCTCATCCTAAGCATGGTTCTGCTAGAGGTTTCTTCCTGTTCAAAGGGAGTTTTTCCTTTCCACTGTCTCCTTTGTGCTTGCTCAGGATGGGAGAGTGTGATGAAGTGAAGATGTCTATGTTTTTGTACAGTGCTCTGAGACAACTTGGTGCTGTGTAAATAAAGTGAAATGAATTGAATTGAAATTGAACTGAATTGAATTTTGGGTAAAATTTTAAAAACTGCATATGTTTTAGGGCTGGACTAACATGTGATGGATCTGTGCTGAATGAACTATAGCTGTAACTATTTCTATATATAAATTATTGTCAAAAGCTTACAAAAACTACCCGTTGTTGTTCAGAATCTGAAGATTTGAACAGGTCTTTTGAAAATTTGAAGTCAAACAGGGTTTCTTTACAGCCTTGAAAAATAATTTGTTTTTAGTAGTTTACAGCTCTGGCTGAATAAAAAACATTTGTGTTTTCAACAATTTGACAGAAACATGATTTGGGCGTGGAAAAGTATAATAAAAAAAAATAATCTGACTTGGAACAACTCACTGTGCCAGCTGGACACAGGAAGTTGTAGCTACAACAGGCTTACAACAAAAACAGCTTGATGGCTTCAAACTGCAATCCAAGTATAAAAACACACTAGTAATACGTTATTGCATTTTATTTTAGAATTTCTTGTTTCTATGTGTCATGCCGTTTTCTTTCACTTCTTGCAAATGAAGACAATGTGAATAAAACTTTCATTTCAGACATTTTATATCAAATATTTAAAACGTGCTAAAATTTGATAACATCTGCCACTTGCCAACATTTTAACAAAACTGCTTGGTGTGCAGTTTGCATCAGTTTTCCTCACACCAGTGGTGCCAGCAGGTGGTGCGCTGCCCCTTTCAGCTAAGTTAACATGTAGCTCATGCTACAACAAAGAGGTGGATTATGGGTAAACACGGACCAGTCATACCTAACTATCTGCAGGTCGAATCTGACTGAAGTGTCCTCCTCTGACAGCTGGTGCACGCTGAACCTCAACTCAGCCAGGATCTGGAGAAGGTGTTCGTGGAGACCAATCAGAAGGAGGGGGGGGGGGGGGAGAGAGAGAGAGAGAGCAACATGTTTAGATTATGCAAACCTTGAAATTTTGTTTTGTTTACCACTCTGTTAATGTCTTTTATAAACTTCCGTCTGTTTTATTCAACAAATTTTACTCACAATACAATGGACTTGTGTCTCTACTGGTCCTGTTAGACCTCAGTGCTGCATTTGATACAGTTGATCACAATATTTTACTACAGAGGCTTCAATATGATATTGGGATTACAGGAACAGCTCTAAAATGGTTGAAATCATATCTATCTGATAGATTCCAGTTTGTAAATGTAAATAATAAATCTTCTTCATACACCAAAGTTAGTCATGGAGTTCCTCAGGGCTCAGTGCTTGGGCCAATGCTCTTTACTTTATATATGATTCCATTAGGTAAAATTATTAAACAACATGGGATACATTTTCATTGTTATGCTGATGACACACAATTATATTTGTACATTAAACCCAATGAATCCAGTCAGCTACTTAGACTACAAGCATGTCTTAAAGACATAAAAACCTGGATGACTTAATTTTCTCCTGTTGAACACAGACAAAACTGAGGTTTTGGTTTTTGGACCTGAGCACCTTAGGAATGAATTTTTCAGTCTTTCTCCCTCCTTAGATGGCATTAATCTGTCCTCCAGCTCCAATGTTTTGATCAGGACATGTCTTTTATCCCCCACATTAAAAACGTTACTAGAACCTCCTTCTTCCACCTGCGTAACATCACTAACATTAGAAACATCTGATCTAAAAATGATGCAGAAAAACTGGTCCATGTATTTGTCACGTCTAGACTGGACTATTGCAATGGTTTATTATCTGGATGTCCAAATACTTCTTTAAAACGTCTTCAGTTGATCCAAAATGCTGCTGCCAGAGTCTTAACTGGAGTTACTGGGAGAGATCATCTCTCTCCAGTTTTAGCTTCTCTCCACTGGCTCCCTGTCAAATCCAGAATAGAATTCAAAATCTTACTTCTAACCTACAAAGCTCTCAACAACCTAGCTCCATCTTATATTACAGATCTTATTGTTCCATATTTTCCTAACAGAGCACTTCGCTCTCTGGCTGCAGGTTTACTTGTGGTTCCTATAATTTACAAAAACAGAATGGGAGGCAGATCTTTCAGTTATCAGGCTCCTCTCTTGTGGAACCAACTTCCAATCTCTGTCCGTGAGGCTGACACATTATCCAGTTTTAAAACTAGGCCTAAGACTTTCCTTTTTGCTAAATCCTATAGTTAGGGTCGGCTTGGGTTTCCTGAGCTGTCCCTTAAGTTATGCTGATATAGGCTTAGACTGCTGGAGGACAAACTGACCACACTTTTCACTCTGCTACTGTCTTTACTTACTCTGCTCAACCTGTTTTGTATTTGTAATTATTTTTTCTATCCTTAACATGTGTTTTTTGTCTTTCAGGTACACCTGGACCTATACCTGGACCTGGACCTATATCTGGACCTACCATTCTGTGTTCATCTGTCTCTTCTTCCTGTCCTCTCAACCAGCCGCTCAAAGTAGATGGCCTCTTGTCCTGAGCCTGGTTCTGCTGGAGGTTTCTTCCTGTTAAAAGGGAGTTTTTCTTTCCACTGTCTCCACTGTACTTGCTCAGGATGAGAGACTGCAACAAAGCCAAGATTCAACTTGTCTGCTGGATTCCTTAGATAGAGAACTTTACTAATTGGCTTTTATTTATGTGAATGTTCCTGTAAAGTGCCCTGAGACAACTTTGTTGTGATTTGACGCTATATAAATAAACTGAATTGAATTGACAATATAAACTGTCTGTTACTAGTTTTACCGTAGTTTCCAGACTAAGAGCTGCTACTTTTTTCACAGGCTTTAAACTCCCCAGCTTAGACAATGCTGCAGCTAATTTACAGATTTTTTTTTGACGGGCTAATGAGCTTCCTGCCACCAAAACATTTAGCTTTGTCACACCCGAGAGCTCACATAACTGTCCAATATAGGTCTTTCTTCGGGGGTGGGTCCTCGTGATACAATGAGACTACCTGTATAAATAAATCAGAATCAGAATAAACTTTATTGGCATTGCATCGAGATACAACGCGAATATGTACATACAGTCGTCCAAAGATGGGCGGAGTGCACGAAGCTGCGGCTATGAATAATTAGCGCGGGCTTCTTATTCTTATTCAGAATAATATTTTGCTTTGATAAGAAAAGGAAAGAAAACATGAGGAGAGACGGTATAAAAAAAAGATCTCTCACACCGTGTCCTAGACAGGGCAAAATTTGAGGCATCAAAAAAACCTACCACAACAAAGCAACATAAACATACGTTATACATTTCCATATAGGCGGTGAAAACATTGAATTTTTAAGGGAAAGTCGTAGCATAGTCCAGACCCCCCCTCAGCCATTGTCCAGATAAGAGGTGACGTTCATCTTCAGCTCAGTTGAGGTTCTGTTACATGTCCACGGCCTTGGGGAAGGGAGGGGTGAGGAAACAGTCAAAGCATCTTTGTTGTTTTTCAAACATTCCAGGAGGAGTTGAGATAAGTCCGGCATCAAGGCCACAGTTTGGGTCAGGCAGAACTCGTGAATTGTTGTTTCTGCCTTTAAAGTCTTGCTGTACATATTCTCTGATGGAAACTCCAAAACAGCCGAATTGATCCTTTACTCCAAAAGTTGAGCTCACAACTTCTCCAGATTATTCCCACCATGAGTGCTGCCAGGAAGATCACAGTCCTGATAACTGCTCCAACTCCCTGCTGCAGCTCCACATTCAGTCCGAGCACTGTCAAGCTTCAACACCTCCACATAAATTTGTAGACAACCAGATTTCACCAACTCAAACAGTAGAATCTAGTCGTCATCATGAATCTAATTTGTTCGTTAAAGAGGTCAGAGGGTCCTCCTTACCCTGACTCCTGTTGGGAGAAGTTGATTGATTTTGTTGAGAGACCAGCTGATCCTTCCAAATAAGAGGTATGCAGGAAAAAAAAAGGGCATTTAAGGGTTCACAGGACAAAAGAGCGCAGCAGGGGAGGGGGGGGTGGTGGTGGTGGTGGGGGTGGGGGGGGGGGGTGTCAGAGATGGAAAACATGTCTGGTTTCACCGTAGAATAGCAGAAAAAAAAGGTTAAAAAAATTTAAAAAAAACTCAGACAGATAAAATTACCAAACAGGTCACAGTCGAACTAATGAAACGGGGAGGGGAGGAGAGAAAAGGAAGTGGGGTGGGGGGAATCCCACCTCTCCATATGGAGGGATTCCCCTGCATGCGCAGAGCATGTGAGCGGGGACTCACATGCTCACAGAGCAACTTTGGCTGTGTGGAGCAGGAGGACAGCTTGTCGAGGAAAATGAAGATAACGATCAATGACTTCCTGGTAGGCTACCATATATTTTTTTAACCAGCCGTGTTACCGGCGCTGTTCAGAAAAAAATAACATTTACTGTAGTATTTGTGTATGTTACTGGTACTTATTGTAGCATTCTGCTGTGATTTACTGCAGGTCACATGGCCTCAGAGAGGGATTATGGGTCAAATTTATCTTCATTGTAAATCATTTCAGTTAGCTGTTTAGCATTGTTCTTTTAATGATTAGCCTGTTCTTCTTATCTTAGTTTGTGTTCATCGTGTGTTAGTTTGCGTTCATCGTGTGTTAGTTTGTGTTCATCGTGTGTTAGTTTGTGTTCATCGTGTGTTAGTTTGTGTTCGTGTGTTAGTTTGTGTTCATCGTGTGTTAGTTTGCGTTCATCGTGTGTTAGTTTGCGTTCATCGTGTGTTAGTTTGTGTTCATCGTGTGTTAGTTTGTGTTCATCATGTGTTAGTTTGTGTTCATCGTGTGTTAGTTTGTGTTCTTCAGTAGAGTAACCATGAGTGAGGAGGTAGTTGTCATGAAGACCTGTGGGGTTCACTCTGTGTGTTGAACAGTAAGATCAAGTCTATAAAACACCATCTGGTGGTTGATTCTTGATCTACAACAAGAGCCGCACATATCTCTCAGTATCTGTGCGCTGCCACTCATGTTACAACGTCCTGCAGCTTATGTATGTACAATTTGTATAGCGCTTTCTAAATATTCAAAGACGCTTAAGCTACAGCATCAGTAGCTTTAAGTACATTCAGTCCTCCATGAGTGATTAAGGTCGTTTTCATAGCTGATAGTCCAGTAGACTCGGTTCGGTTGGGGACCAATATTCATGACCTTTTGTTACATTTGAGCTGGTGCGTTTGCATTCACACTGCACTGTGCAGTCGAGTCAACCTGTTGAACCAACCTGTTCCCCCATTCGCCTGTGGGGGCGCTACAGCAAGAACTACTGAAAGAAACAACATAAAAACCTCTGAAGACACGTCTTCTTCTTCTTCTTCTGTAAATAAAAATAAAAACCAAGTGGCATCAAGTTTTAGCAGTTTTAGGAGTTATATTTTGTCATTTTTCAAAAATGGACTCAGCATGAGCAGAAGATGAGACAGAAGACCATGGAGAATATTGTTTTTCACACAAGTCAGCTGACGGCTCCATATGAGGTCAGAGAAATGCGTGTTTGTTTGTCCTGCGGAGCGGGGCCCGGTCTGTTTACATTCACACTGTACTCGAACCGTGCTGGAGTTCTCTTCTACCGGACCGAGACCTAGGTTTTAGTGCGGGCCAGAGTTCATCTTTTTGTTCCATGACAGAGTTCGATGGTGCGTTCACACCTCCCTAAACGAACCGGACTTTCTAGGAAAACGAGCTAGAGTTCGATTAAAGCGGACTAAACAGGGCTGGTGTGAATGCACCCTAAGATGCCTGCTGATGTTCACTGACCTTAGTTCCTCCCTTCATGGGGTTTCCCAGGTCACACACCACCATCTTCGTCTGGTTCTCCTTTTTGTAAGCGCACGAGAGCCTGGAGAGGGTCTGTGAAAAGCACAGGTGGACCATCAGAGCTTCATATAAAACATGATAAAGAACTGGACTGAGTTTGTTCAGGATCAGCTTGATCCATTTCATACTGAAAACATAAAAACAAACATAAAATTGTGCAGCTGCAGTCAGAAATCTGCATGAACATCAAATTAATTTTGGTATTTTAATCATTATTTGAACGGTTCATTTTCTGCAGGTGCTACAACATCAGTGATTTTAAGAAACAAACACAGGCACCACAAATTTAAATTCATTGTGGACTTTTTCTAACTCAAACAAGGATTAGATTAAATATCCATCCATTATCTTTACACGCTTCTTCCTTTTATCTGATAGTGTTTAACGTCATATTTATGTAGAAATATAAAAAATTCTAAAGGGTTCACAAATTTTCAAGCACCACTGTGGTAGAATAAATGCTGTGGTAACTTGAAAATCTAAAACTGTTTTTGTGTGGAGGATGGCAGGTGAGTTCTGGATGCCAAACAAAGTTGCTATGTTCAAGTTGTATGTTGTACCTGACTGCGAACGACGCCGGTGAAGTCGGCTTGCTGTGGAGGAAAGACGTGGAGTTCGGCCTCGTAGGCTCCTTCACCCTGATTCTCAGCACTCACCTCCAGGGTGAGAGCATTGTCATCACCGATGTAGAGCTTTTCACGATCGCTGCAGACAATCAGAGAACAGAGATATTGTCCACATACAATAGAAGCCTAAATCTTATACCCAATTAAAAAGTGAACAAAATCAGCTTTCGTTGTCGTGACATTTTGTTTTCTCATGTGCCCAAAAAGCCCATTCTCAGCACCAAGTCTGGGCAGGACTTTTTCTCTCAGAAGTACGCACCAACTGTTGTGTGATTGCTCAGAACTTTGTGGTGGTCATGTTTTTGCGTTAAAGCAAGTGAACTGTAATGGCGTCATTTTGCTTCAACTGCTCCACTAAGAAGCAGCTGGCCAAGGCTAAGTCTCTTTGTGACACATTTCAAACGCCAAAAGACATCCATCGTCTCAATCTGTGTAACAAAAATGTCTGGTTATGGTAAGAAAAGCAAAATGCACAGAAGAGTGGAGACCTCGGGGGAGGGGCTTACCAGGAGTTCTGCGCTGCAGTTTCTTAAAACATCAAAACAAAACATCCATCTGAAAAGCACATCTAGAAACTACCTCAGTGAGAGCAGATTTCTTGACTTCCCGCAGAGAATATATAAATCCAGCCTAACATTTGCTCCTGTTTTAAGGGGAAATATTTGATATTAATGTCACCTGCAGAAAAATTGGTTTTACCTCTTGACAGATAACTTGAGGCTGGGCTTACAGATGTTGTCGTCTCCACAGTCTAACAGGATGTGAGCCTGATGGAAGGACGAAAAAACAGTTGAAAGATGAGAACAACGGGAGAAAGAATGAGAAAAAAAGACAAAACCTGTGTTGAAAGAACAAAAGGCAGTCATACACTGATTAAACCAGCATGATCTCCAGCCTCTACAACCAGAGGGGATCTAACTTTAGTAAGTCCCAGAAGATTCAAACTGCTAGTTTTTAATAACAACTAAAATAAAACTTGAACTTATGAGGAACATAACATTGACAGTACCTGCAACAACAATGAATACAGTTTTTATAAATTGAGAGCAGACAGAAAGTTTGAGTCCAGTTCTGCAGACACAAAGACGTGGCTGTGTTTCAGATGCCTCCCATGTTGCACCAGCTCTTCAGAAATCACACCACAATGGCAAGAAGACATCTCAGTTCTAACTTAAGTGTTTTCTGGAAGTGTTTACTGTGAGTGCTATAAGACTCACAGTACCTGCTTGGTGACGTTAGACGGTGCCGAAACATCGAGGATGGGTTGCAGTCCCGTCTTGTCTGCAGCCAGCTGGTAGTCCAGACTGTACTCCATTGCCACGGAGATGGGAGTGATCTTATCTCGAAACTCACGATCATCCTGAACAAGAAGAAGAGCAAGATCAGCTCTCAATTTATTTATATTTTTTAATAACTTTCTGTTTTCCTATTGCAGAAACCAGAGGCGATGACAACACTGTGACACCTGGAGGTCAGTGCTGAGTCAAGAGAATTTTGGAAAATTTCTATAAACATATATTGTAACTGTATAATGGCAAAAAAATCTCCAATCTAATCTCTAATTATAGTAATTGACAGTTGATATATGTCAGCTGCCAAAAGGCAGCAGATAATGGGTTGTTTTTTTCTGGTGACAAAATCCAGTATGTCATGAACCACTGGACAGATTTTAATGAAACTCTGGAGTCAGTCCAGTTTAAGATGGCTGTCACAGGTATGTCACACCTGCCAACACAAAAGTGATTGGAACTGTGGAAGTTTGATAAATTTGTTTTCCTAGTGGTTGAGAGTCATTCTTGACATGTACTCTGAACATGACTTTGTTTGAAATAACACAAATTTTATTTTTAAGATTTGACTAAAACAGTGAAACCAGCCACTAGGGAGCCCAAGCCAGTGTATCTCTTGTGCCACAAGCCAGTGTATCTCTTGTGCCACAAGCCAGTGTATCTCTTGTGCCATAAGCCAGTGTATCTCTTGTGCCACAAGCCAGTGTATCTCTTGTGCCGGTCCCAAGCTCTGGTAAATGGTGAGGGTTGTGTCAGGAATGGCATCCGATGTAAAACACTTTTGCCAAAACCATAATGCGAGTTCATCAAAGTGAAACCATACCGGATTGGTCGAGGCCCGGGTTAACAACGACCACCACGGGTGCTGTTGACAAACAGGGTGCCGGCGGAAATTGTGCTACTGTTAGTCGAAGACCACGAGGAGGGAAACGTGTCAGGAGACAGAGAGAGAAGAGTAAAGTCAAGAATGTAGGACTGAGGGTTGCAACTCTAAATGTGTGGACAATGACAGGCAAAGGTAGAGAGCTGGCTGACATGATGCAGAGAAGAAAGGTAGATGGTTTATGTGTCCAAGAGACCAAGTGGAAGGGCAGCAAGGCTCGCAACATTGGAGCAGTGTTCAAACTGTTTGACCATGGTGTGGATAGAAAGAGAAATAGAGTAGGGGTGGTCCTAAAGGAGGAGTTGGCAAATAATGTAGTAGAGGAGAAGAGAGTGTCAGATAGGGTGATGTGCCTGAAGGTAGAAGTAGAAGGTCTGATACTAAATATCGTCAGTGGTTATGCTCCATAGGTTGAATGTGATGGGGAGGAGAAAGATACATTTTGGAAAGATCTGGATGAAGTGATAGAGTATTCCCAAGGAGGAAAGAGTGGTGATTGGAACAGACAGATCTGAATGGACATGTTGGTGAAGGAAACAGAGGGGATGTGGAAGTGATGGGTAGGTTTGGTGTCAAGGAAAGAAACCAGGAAGGACAGATGGTGGTGGATTTTACCAAGAGAATGGCTGTAGTCAACACCTATTTCCAAAAGAGGGAGGAACATAAAGTGACCTATAAGAGTGGAGGAAGGATTACGCAGGTCGACTACATTCTGTGTAGAAAAGGTAACCAGAGGGAGATTGGGGACTGTAAGGTTGTAGTCAAGTCAAGTCAAGTCAGATTTATTTATAGAGCACATTTAAAACAGAAACTGTTACCAAAGTGCTTAACAAAAATATCACAACATCAAATAAAAAGTAGCAAGATATATTTACAGCACATGGAATAAAAATATAAAACCAAAAACATAATTAGAACAATGAAATACTAAATCAGATCACGTTGTGTCAAAAGTCAAGGAAATAATAACAAAAAGCATAAACTCAGTCAGAAACAATGAAATACTAAATCGGATCTGATGACCTTGTGTTAAATAGGAAAAATAATAAAAGCATAAACAGAATCAGCATCAATGAAAAACTAAATCTAAATCCGATCACACTGTGTTAAATGTCAATGAGTATAGATGTGTTTTTAAGAGTTTTAAAAGCAGAGACTGAGGTGGCCTGTCGAATGTTGATGGGCAGATTGTTCCAGAGTTTAGGGCCCACGACTGAAAATGTAGCAGGGGAGAGCGTGGCCAGACAGCATCGGATGGTTGTGTGTAGAATGACTGTTGTTGTGAAGAAGAGAAAAAGTAAAATCGGACAAGAAGACCAAATGGTGGAAGATGAAGAAGGAAGAAAGTTGTGAGAAATTCAGAGAGGAGCTGTTTAAAGCTCTGGTTGGTAAGAAAGAGCTTCCAAATGACTGGACTACTACAGCAATAGTAAATAGAGAAACAGGTAGGAAGGTACTTGGTGCGTCATCTGGACAGAGAATAGATGATAAGGAAACCTGGTGGTGGAATAGTGAAGTGCAGGATGCCATTCAAAGAAAGCGATTAGCCGAGAAGAAATATGACAGTGAGAGGACTGAAGAGAGGAGACAGGAATATAAGGAGATGGGACGTAAAGCAAAGAGGGAGGTAGATAAGGCAAAGCAGAGGGCGTACGATGAGTTGTATGGGAGACTGGACACTAAAGAGGGTGAGAAGGACTTGTACCGATTGGCAAGACAGAGGGATCAGGCTGGAAAGGATGTGTAGTAGGTTAGGCTTATTAAAGATAGGAATGGTAATGTTCTATCAAGTGAGGAGAGTGTGACGGGAAGATGGAAGGAGTACTTTGAGGAGCTAATGAATGAAGAGAATGAAAGAGAAAGAAGAGTAGAGGTCATAGAAACTGTGGATTAGGAAGTGGGAAAGATTAGTGATGGTGAAGTCTGAAAAGCTCTGAAAAGAATGAAACAGGGGAAGGCAGTAGGACCTGATGACATACCAGTGGAGGTTTGGAAATGTCTTGGAGAGATGGCAGTGACATTTTTGACTCAAATATTCAATGGCATTTTCGAGGGCGAGAAAATGCCTGAGGAATGGAGAAGAAGTGTGCTGGTGCCCACTTTTTAAGAACAAGGGTGATGGGGAAGTAAGTTGATGAGCCACATGATGAAGATCTGGGGGCGAGTTGTGGAAGCAAGACTTAGACGAGAGGTGAATATCTGTGAGCAGCAGTATGGTTTCATGTAAGAAAAAGCACCACAGATCCATATTTACTTTGAGAATGCTGATGGAGAAGTACAGAGAGAGTCAGAAAGAACTCCATTGTGCATTTGTGGATTTAGAAAAAGCATCTGACAGAGTGCGCCAAGAGAGGAGGTGTGGTATTGCATGAGGAAATCTGGAGTGGCAGAAAAGTATGTTAGACTGGTACAGGACATGTATGAGGACAGCAGGACATGTATGAAGACAGCAGGACATGTATGAAGACAGCAGGACATGTATGAGGACAGCAGGACATGTATGAGGACAGCAGGACAGTGGTGAGATGTGCTGTAGGACTGACAGATAGCTTCAAGATAGAGGTGGGAATGCAACAAGGATCAGCTCTGAGCCCCTTCTTGTTAGCTCTGGTGATGGACTGACTAACAGATGAGGTCAGGCAGGAATCCCCGTGGATTATGATGTTTGCAGATGACATTGTGATCTGTGGTGAGAACAGGGAACAGATGGAAGAGAACTTGGAGAGGTGGAGGTATGCACTTGAAAGAAGAGGAATGAAAGTCAGCCATAGTAAGACAGAGTACTTGTGTGAATGAGAGGGAGGCCAGTTAAACAGTGAGGCTACAAGGAGCAGAGGTCACAAAGGTGCAGGACTTCAAGTACTTGGGGTTCACTATCCAGGAAAATGGGGAATGTGGTAAAGAGGTGAAAAAGAGAGTCCAGGCAGGATGGAGTGGATGGAGAAAAGTTTCAGGAGTGATTTGTGACAAAAGGGTGTCAGCAAAGGTCAAAGGAAAAGTTTACAAGACAGAAATGAGACCAGCTATATTGTATGGTCTGGAGACAGAGACATGGACAAAAAGACAGGAGACAGAACTGGAAGTGGCAGAAATGAAGATGTTGAGGTTCTCTTTAGGAGTGACAAGGATGGAGAAGATTAGGAATGAGATCATCAGAGGTCTAGCACAGGTTGAACAACTGGGAGATAAGGTTAGAGGCCAGACTGAGATGGTTTGGACATGTCAAGAGGGGGGACCATGGGTATATTGGTAGAAGGATGTTAGAAATGCAGCTGCCAGGAAAAAGACAAAGAGGAAGGCCAAAGAGGAGGTATATGGATGCAGTTAGAGAGGACATGAAGGTAGTTGGAGTGAGGACAGAGGATGCAGATGATAGAGTGAGGTGGAGGAGGATGACTCGCTGTAGCGACCCCTGAAGAGGGAAAAGCCGAAAGAAGAAGACTAAAACAGTGAAAACTCCATCATTTATCAACATCTTGGTTTAAAACTCTTCCATGAAGGGCAGTGGGCGATCAATAAGATAAAAAAGGAGGCTGTGACTGAACAAAGCTGACAGATGACATAACGCTGGCCATCAACACCAAAGTTCATGCTCAATAATCCAGGTACAAATCCAGCAAGGTTCAGTCAGATCATCTGGACGGATTCTTTTTTTGCTGAGACATTTTGTCCTTCATCCAAAGGACTTCTTCAGTGTGAGGACACAATGATCTGACTGAACAGTTGGATTTGTACATGGATAATTGAGCATGAACTTTGGTGTGGTTCACGTTCACACTGCACTGAGTCAATTGAGCCAACCAGAAATCGTATCAAAGTGGCACATTTGGACCAGTTAATGCACATAAAGACAAAGCAAGAAGCAGACGGAGCCATCCACCTGGACAAAGTGTACACCCACTGGAGAAGTGAGAAGGACAGATGTGAAAAACAAGGTAAAATTTAAGTCAGATTTGTGCATATTCTAGTGACATTTCTTAAGATATTTTATTTATGGATATGTATCATTAAATGCTGTTACTACTACATAATTTTATGGATAGTAGAAATGCTAATAAAAACTGTGTCGATATTTTACAGACAAAGAGTTACAGGAATTTACACCGTATCACAAGCTACAGCACACATGTCATTGTGCTAAATGTGAATGTTTAATGTGAACAAAATGTTATGTATGAAAGGTGTATATGTCTCATTTCTTCCAGAGCAGGAACCTCACCCAGACCACAACTGGACCCTCACCCAGACAAAAGCAGGACTCTTCCCATGGCCAAAGCAAGACTCTCACATATAACACACTACACATCTTTTATTTATAAACAACAAGATTATTGTCTTTTTTCATTTTAAGTGGGCCAAATCACTTATCCATCCATTATCTTTTAATCGCTTCTTCCATTTTGGGTCACGGGGGTCGCTGGTGCCCATGTTCAGCAATCACTGTGCGAGGGGCGGGGTACACCCTGGACAGGTCTCCAGTCCATCACAGGGACACATGGAGACAAACAAGACAAACAACCATTCACTCTCTCACTCACACCTAGGGACAATTTAGAGTTACCATTCAGCCTAACATGCATGTTTTTGGTCTGTGGGAGAAAACCCATGCATGCATGGAGAGAACATGCAAACTCCACCCAGAAAGGCCCCCCAGACCGGGATTTGAACCGAGGACCTGCTCCCTGAGAGGCAGCAGCTCTACCAGTTGCGCCACCGTGCTCCAAATCACTTATATCAAAAGTAAACTAATGGAAATTGCTGCTGTAATTTGATTCTTTTAATAAGCCATGTAACTTGCTATGATCCCAAGTTTTGAACACTACTGGTGTGTGGCCACAGCATGCACATCTGATGTTGTTCACAGTGGGCCTCAGTGTGTTCAGGGAGCTTGTGTGTTTGCCCAGACACATGAACAATTAGAAGGAGCATTGCTGTGGATTTTGTACATTCACCTAATGCGCATGCATGCTGCCTGGAACAGCTGTGTGTAAGGACTTTCCTCTGGGCTTAAAAGCCCAGCTAACTACAAAACTTAAAGCTGGATTTTGGATCTGACACCAAACGGGACCGCTTCACCTAACAGCTCGACACCGGTCGCTGAGCAGACCAGCACTGATGAGAATGATGTCAGACTTCCTACTCCCGTGGTAATCAGTAGCTGTCGAGCAATACAGCAGGTAAATCTACATTCTGGAGAACGATAGCTTGTGTTTACTTTGGTTACACAACAACCGAGTTTTATTTTTCCTGTGAGGAGAAGCTATCCTCCTACCAGAGGCAGACCACTTTCGAACGAGCATACATGTCGGCCCGAGGCTTGGCGGTGCAGGAACACTATGAAGATAGAGATGTTGGAGCAACTATTCACTTTTAAATTCTCCTCAGTTCTTTTTTCCAATCCATTCAATATTTTAAGCAAAGGAGTGACAGCCTGAACAAGTCAGATAAACAACATGGCGTCAGTATCAACGATGACAACAGAGAGGAAGAGCCCAGTTCATGTAGTTTACAGTTCAGTTAACATGTATTTAATAGTGTGTTCAGTTTTCTAATGAGTGTTTGTGTGACATAGAGTTTGCGGTGTTGAATAAATAAATAAAAATTTAACTTGATGGCTTCATTTTCAACTTTAATAACATGCTATTTGTTTCATGTCGTTTAAATCACATAACTTGAATTGCATAATGTCCAGATAGCTTCATTTAGCTCAGATAGCTTCATTAAATCTCCACCACTAACAGAAATACTGTTTATTATTGTTACTGTTATTATTTAGCACATTTAGTATGTTATAGTCCAGCGCAGCGTGACACGTGAAATATCCACCTGCCTCGACAGACTCAGAGATTTCGAACTGGATTAGGGCTGCAACTAACGATTATTTCAATAATCGATTCATCGGCCGATTATTTTTTGATTAATTGATGAATCAGCAAAAAACAATGTTTTAATTTCCACCCCTTTATTCCAAAATTGAACATTTGACTGACATAGCAATTCGCACAAAAAACAGGTTGCTATTTGACTATTCTGTTAGTAAAATATTGAATAATAAAAAATAAAAGTTAGTCAAATAGCTTAAAAAAATAAATGTACACAAAAATATATACAAATGTGTCTTTATACCTGCAAAATATGTAGTTACTTTGTAAAATGTGTCATTGAGGAAAGAGTGTAACCTGGATTAAAAGTGTGGATTATTGTAACTGGATTAAAAGTGTGGAATATTGTAACCTGGATTAAAAGTGTGGATTATTGTAACCTGGATTAAAAATGTGGATTATTGTAACCTGGATTAAAAGTGTGGATTATTGTAACCTGGATTAAAGTGTGGAATATTGTAACCTGGATTAAAAGTGTGGAATATTGTAACCTGGATTAAAAATGTGGATTATTGTAACCTGGATTAAAAGTGTGGATTATTGTAACCTGGATTAAAAGTGTGGATTATTGTAACCTGGATTAAAAGTGTGGA